TTTTTTTTTTTTTTTTAATCTGTCACTTTTTCAAATTCGTCAACTTTTTTTTTTACCACTTTTTGAATTTGTGTTACTTTTGTTTGAATTTGTCTTTTTTAGTATTTGTCACTTTTTTCAGTTATCTTAAAATTTCTATTACATTTTTTTAGTGAGAAACATCACTTTTTAATAAAAGTGAGATTGTATATCATTTTTTAATAAAAAGGTGACACTAAGCTTTTAAAAGTGTCATTATGGCAGTTTTTTTTTAACAAGAAAAGTGACAATTTTTATATTAAAAAAAAAGTGACATTGTGTCAGTTTTTAACTTTAGGCAGTGTTTTTTACTTCCAAAAAAATTTTAATATGATTTTTCCAAAGTGATATTGTGTCAATTTATTTATTATTATTATTATTTTTTTGAAGAAAAGTGACAATTTTTATTACAAAAAAAAAAAGTGACATTGTGTTACTTTTTAACTTTAGGTAGTATTTTTTACTTCCAAACAATTTTTCATATGATTTTTCAAAAGACCTCTAATTTTAAGGGCGTTTTTGTAATTTGCCCGTTAAAATTGTCAAACCTAAACCAAACCATTTTGATCGGATTTGATTTGATTCAAAAACATTTCGTTGACCGGGTCCACGTGGCACCAAATCGACGGCTTCTAAAATACGGTTTCGGTTTAGTTTTTCGTTTTTGCGATTTTTGTTTACAGCTCTAAGATCCATAAGGAAAATCTAGTTCATCTCTCTTTTTATTTTTAATCATCATACACAAAAGCACTCAAAAGTTTCTTATGAATTCTTAAAAGTCATGTCAAACGGACTCTTTGTAAGTTTGGAAAAAATGATGAATTATATAATTGAAAATTTGATAAAATTTCAATGTCTTATAAAATACGTCGTTAAAATTATAGGTTATCAATTGAAAAGTTAGATAAAATTGAAAAGCAATCAAAAATTTCTTATGACTTTTCAAAAGTCATGTCAAACGGATTCTTTGTAGGTTTGGAAAAAAAAAATGATGAATTTTATAATTGAAAATTTGATAAAATTTCAAAGTCTAATGAAGTATGTGGTTAAAATTGAAGGTTATCAATTGATAAGTTAGATAAAATTTTGCAACAAATGTTTAATGATATAGGGTTAGAGCTTAATGATTAATACCCCCAAAAACTATCGTAGATGTTTTTTTGGGCAAACGTTATTTACGACCTACCTTTTAGCAAAATTTTAATTGAGTTATTAAACTTTTAATTTGTTTCAATTAATTTACTAAGAGTCTGTTTGAACCTCCTTTTTTTTTTTTTTTTTTAATAATGAAAATGCAGTATTTTGAAGGAGAATGTGTGATTTAAAAATAAGAAAAAATTTGAATTTACGTGTAATATTATTTTATTAAAAAATATGTATTTAAAAATAAGATAGTGAAAAATATATTTTAAAAATAATGGAGACCAAACAAGGACTTAATCTCAACTTCAATTGAGTCATTGAGCACAAATTTTAACTTCACATTTCAACACTCAATCAATAACCTGTCGTAGGAACATGATGACGGGTTCAAGGCAGGGATCCGATTCCTCGACCCCTGTTCCAACTTATTCGAGTTCGAGTCGGGACGAAAACTCCCATTCCCGTTTATAATTATTTTATTTTACTTTTCATTGAATTAAATATATTATAATATAAATAAAATTAAAATTGTTAAAGTTATAAATTATTTTTAAAACATAAGAAGAATGATAAAAACTACATTTTTCTATTTTTATGCATAAATATAACTATAGAAATAATTTTATTAATTGAGGCCTGTCCCCGCCCCGTCCTTCATTCTAGAGAAGGATTGTGGCCCCATTCCCCAATTAATTAGGGAATCCCCACCCTCGAGACGCCTCCGAGGATTGAGGAATGTTGTGGCCAACTCGAACTTGTCATTTCTCAAATTGATAAAAATTGTTTAATTTTCTTCCATTCCAAATCTTTCTAAATAATCGATGCATTACATATCATCGTTGCATCAAAAATGCT